TACCGAATATGTGAACCGTTTACGTGCATCAGCCGGAGATTGTAGTTTTGGGAATGGTTTAAACGAGAGAATGCGTGACCAACTCATTTTTGGTATAAACAATCGTGAGTGGCAAGAGAAAATTATTCAAAAACATTCTACATTCGATACGACTTTAGAAGAAGTTGAAGCAACAGCCATGCTTCTAGAACAAGCATCAATACAAATCAAACAATTAACAGTTTTCCAGCCGAACAATCAATCAGATGCGAAAACGGGTGCAAGACGTTTCCGCTAGCAGAGGAAATGATCGAAATGAAACTGAACATTCAAATGACTTGACATCAGTTCCGGATGTTACAACACCTATGAAGGATGAAATCGTGGATATTTCTCAACATTCAATTGGGAGATCGGTAGGCACTTATGATGATGAAGACACCGGTGCATTACAAAAAGATGTAGAAATACCTCATGAACAAAGAAGCTATCCTACACCAAGAAGGAACCCTACACGGAATAGGAAGCCTCCAACCCGCTACATGGATTGAATTTTTATTATGTGGGGAAGGAATGTAGTAATATGACCCTGTATCTTCAAGGGATGATAGATGATCGTCAGTCACTCAGTCAGTCTGAAGCAGTCGTACAAAACAGACGTCAGTCGACTCGCGATACATACATGTACAAGCAGAATACGATTCAGACAAGCCTCGTTACATACATACATCCATTTCAAGTACATTCATACCTCAACATTCATTGTGATTAGTGTTTATTGTTTTCATTAAAGTGCTTTCCATTTGGACCCATTTCCTGACAGTAAACGTCATCATTCCATCATACCACACAACTCAAAATTCCGACTCGTAACTCGAAATTCCGACTTGTAACTCAGAATTCCGAGTTGCAACTCGGAATTCCGACTTGTAACTCGGAATTTCGACTTGTAACTCAGAATTCCGAGTTGCAACTCGGAATTCCGACTAGTAACTTGGAATTTTGAGTTGTAACTCGGAATTCCGAGTTCCAACTCGAAATTCCGACTTGTAACTCAGAATTCCGCTGAAGTTGTGATGCCTGAGCCTGAACTTTTATTTCAGCAGAAGTGAAGTTTCTACAAAAATGAATTAATTTTGCAAATGTTTAAGTGCTGATGATGGAACCTGGAACCACTATATGATATGATCAAATAATTGTGACAATGAATAATGATGACTGTGAAATCATATGGTTCCTTTTTAAATTTGTAGGTGTTTCAGGTACAACAGTCAGCATTTTGTGATTTCTCTATGTAGTTTTGTATTCGATTAGTTCCATAAAAAATATGTATTTATATAATTACATTTGATCATTGTTTATTTTTGTTTCAATCAGATCACTGAATATAAAATAAATGTTCTATGAACATCTTTCCATGACATGTAGATCTTTTGTAATATATATTACCTACTGTGAAATAATATATATAATGCAGGTATTTTTCATTTATTAAATAGGTACAATTTTGATATACCTACTTACTTACTATATTTATCTTTTTTTATAATAGATAAAAATAAATCACAACAAACTATGTATAAGTAGTATAATACAATATATTCAACAGCAACTTTGGAGTTGAGAGAAACTGTAATTGTAGAATAACAACAATAATTGATCAGATGTTCACCTTGATTTTCACCAATTATCTTTTCTGTCTTCATTTCCCAGGACACTTTCTTCATTACACTATAAAATATGAAATGTTACATAATTTAATGAACATACCTAGATACCAAGTTTAGCAAGGAAGCAAGAATTTATGATTGAAGTAAAGTAGATAGATAATTAATGTTTTCTTGAGAACATACCAGGTCTCTAGGTTCTGATGCATGATTGCTATCAATTCGATCTGCTCTCAATTTTCCACGGGAAATGTTCTTCGGAAATCTCTGCTATCATCCCTTCACTAGCAATACCAATCAGACGAACTAGACAAGCCCAGTCAGCACATCCTTTCGTTGTCAACCTCGAAAGATGTCGAACAGCACTTTATCAAGACTCCTTCATCCATAGAACGGCTAGGCTCTGGAATTCATTGCCTGTGGAAGTATTCCCAACAACATATAATCTCCAAAAGTTCAAAAAAAATTCCAATACATACCTCCTGTCCCTATCCTCCCAAGGAACGCACGATGTTCTTTGAACATTATAGGGATTCCCTTTCGTGCGCTCCAAGCGATAAAAAAAAAAAAAATACACATCAGTCTTGCATTTTGAATGGCCTAGAGTTTGATGACTCATATGCTGCTATGGGACCCATCTTTCTATATTATGTTTGTATTGAAAACGTGTTTTTTTTTTTGCAATTACATTACCTCGTTGGTCCCAGCACTGAGACCAAACCACAGTTAAAAGAATATACAATATATATATTCTTTTAACTGTGACCAAACGCCCCATTAGTCGAAACTTGTGCGGGGTTAGGTAAGTATACAAACACAAACATCCATGGCCTACCTAGGATTCGAACCTATGTCTCGGTGGGAGTCTCCATACGAACTCAGCGCATTCACGCTCTCGACCACCGAGCCGCCTTGTTTCCAAACTCTGTATTGGACCATCAAATGTAAGTTTTGATTCAATTCATCCAAAATGAAAGTTTTCAATTACAGGAAACACTGAATTCATAAATAATGATGTTAATTCATTATAGTCATTATTCAGTACTTCAGTACACAGTACACACGTGGTACACACGAGAAAATTCCGAGAGGGCGCCGTACATTATGCTATTTCTCGGCAAGTTTGAGGCAATGCAATTTTCTCGCAATTTCCGCAATTGATTGCAAGTCGCCGTACATTAAGATATTTCTGAGATATTTCTGTCATATTTTCTTGTTCATATTCACTATTTTCAGGTTTTTTGAGCCTTCAATGTACTTTTTGAGGTTATTTGGTGTTTCAGGCCACGTTATGGAGAGAATTTGTATTTTATCAAGATGCTACGATGAATATTACTGAAAATTTCACTAAACTTGCGTTGAAATTGCAGGAAAAATAGAACTGGTTCTATTATGAAACTTGCATGAAACTTGCGGTGAAATATCATAGACGCATGCGCATTGTTCGATTCAAAATTGCATTGCACCGAACTTGCTTGTAAATAGCATAATGTACGGCGCCCTTTTACAACTCGGAATTCTGAGTTGCAAGTCGAAATTTTGAGTTACAAGTCGGAATTCCGAGTTACAACTCGGAAATCTGTGTTGCAAGTCGGAATTCCGAGTTACAAGTCGGAATTCCGAGTTACAACTCAGAATTCTGAGTTGCAAGTCGGAATTCCGAGTTACAACTCGGAATTGAAATAAAAATAAGTTGATGGCCCCTCTACGCCTTCGTAAATTTCACATTATTCATTTTTTCATGTTTTGTTACCGCATCTTCCGCATCTTGGTTCTTGGAGAGGTAAGACTGAGATGTTTATAGTCTTTAGGCATCTCACTCAAGGAGGAGGAGTCCTCAAGGAATCCTCAGATGAGGAAGACTTGGGGAGTTCTTGGGGAGACGACTTTAAATACGGGCCTGATTAAAAACCAGCCCTTAACACATTGATTGCCACGTCATACATATGTGAATGACACTACCACTTCCGTTTAGGCCGCGTCATACATATATGTATGACGACATATTTTTGTTGTGAGGCCGTGTCATACGAATATGAATGATAGCCAATGCAATTCAGATGGGGATATGAATGTGTGGCCTCCAAGGAAGTCACAGGCATATTTGGCCAGAGCAAATTTTGATAGATCGTGATGCAAGACAATAAAATACAAAAATCATATATGAAAAGGTTTATTCATCGTAAAAACAGTAAAACTAATATTACATAATAATGAAAAATAGTTGTTTACCTAACAAGTGCGGAAAGTGATACTATTCCGCATGTGTTAGGTACACTATTTTTTCTACTAGCGTGCGGAAAAATAAATTCCTCTTTTCCGCACTCATTTCACTGTGGAGAGTTTTTTCCGCACTAGTGCGGAAAAATGACTCTTTCAACACTGAAATGGGTGCGGAAAAGTGTTTTTTTTTTCGCACGCTAGTAGAAAGAAAACAATCATCATATTCGTCATACATATTTGAATGACGTGGCCCAGCGTGGTGAAATAACTCTTTAGGCTAACATGGGAGGCCACGTCATTCATATATGAATGACATCGAAAAACAAACAAAATGGATGAAAAAAAAATTAATAATGACTTTTGAGGGTCAAACTTGATTTTTGGAAGTGAAAATTCATGAATGGAACTAAAATGTACCTTTGGCCCCGTGGGATAAACTCCAGATATGGGCTTGGCAATCAATGTGTTAAGGATGTTGTAAGGGACGAGGTCACCAAGGAGCAACTATAAATACGGGCCTAAAGCGGCGTTCACAATCGAACTTTTCACGTTTTGCCTTTTATGTTTCGGATTCTGATTGGTGAAGCAGAATCTGAAGTTGAACGTGAATTAATTGAACTGAAGCAAACTTCATTCTCAAAATATTCAGCTTTTCGCGTCATTTCAATTCCAGATTTTGTTTCACCAATCAGAATACGAAACGTAAAAAGCAGAACGTGAAACGTTTGGTTGTGAACGCCGCTAAAGGCCAAGGAATATAAACTCTAGGCATGCTACTAATTGCATGACTGGCGAAAGACATTTCTGAAGCGTCGCTCACAGTCCAGCAACAAGACAATTTATCATTGCTTTCAATATAGCTACATAAGTTGTAGGACGTTAAATATGATCCTTTCTGCATTTTGAAAAATTACCTGGGAGAACGGCATTTTCTAAACAATCTCACCTAACTCGGCTGAATTAACCTTCGGAAAATTATGGAATTCGTTCACAGTAAATTCGTCACGTCAAAACATATCTGACTTCACGTCATCCTGTTCTGTGTTTTCTTGTTTCATGTCTTTTTTCTGACATTCTGACACATCTGACATTTTATTATTTTATTGGTCCAAAAGTGAAAAGTCCAAAAGGTCGAATGTCAAATTGAATCATGATCATGAATGATGAATGTTGAATAGTCGATGGTCGGGTTCGTTTTTTCCACGATTGTATCGTTTTGTTCGTTCCTCGTTCCTAGCTCGTTCGTAGTATTCAGAGAGAGAATGAGGACTTGATGAATCATTGTGAATGATAAAAATAAGCTCAACTGATAATGTAGAGGTGGTGAAAGTGGTGTATGAGTACGATCATTCTGTTATAGAAAAATTGATAATTGATACCTACTTTGAAGTGATAGAAACGTACATAAACTCTAGTTTGGTGTATTGGTGTCATCAGGACAAAAATGGCTTTTAGTAAAAACATTAGGTTTCTACCAAGGACATTGCAGTGTTTTTGTTGCTTCCTCATCTTTTCATCTATTGCTATAAGCAAGGTAAGTTATGGTATTACACTCAGAAGACAAATTAATGGTATTGAAATGCATTGGAGGGTTATATTTACTTGGTGCTATTGCCCAAAAATGGAAAGTGATGATAGTGAGGTTTTTACCAACACCCCCTTGATCTATTTCTTTTTGTGAAGCTCTCTGCTATCATATAAGATGAATTTTAGGGCGAATTTCGAATTATTATATGTATTTACTAAATATCTACCTAAAGTGGTGCCAATACTTTTTTTAATTGAAATCCGTCTAGGAGATCTACATATTATCAGCTTCAAATTTCATCTTGAACATGTAACAAACTCTTGGTAATTGAACATTTTCAAAATTTCCTTGGCACTTGTCATAACCTTCTAGTAAGTAGATGTGCTTTATAAAGGACATTGTTTGTTGCTGAGGAGTCTGACTGCAATGCAGAATTGGGGTGGTTTGAGCATGATGAATAGAAATTCACCAAAGATTTCATCAGTATCACTTTGGACATCAATATTTCTATGAAGGAAAATGTGTAAATCACAATACAAATATAATAACAAAGCCCAAAACTTGAAATTTGACAACTATCAAACATTTTATGACTCAAATCCACCAATGACTCATCTTCAATCTCTGCAAATGAATGATGTGTGTTCTAATAAGCACATGAATTTTTCACATGTACTAGAAAATCCATTGGGTCTATTTTTTTCTATCACAGTAGCACTGACGAGAGCACTGATCATGTGTGTTTACCAAAGGGTCATTTATGAAATATTCATCAAATGAGATTTTGCCTAAAACGCCCAGAATAGCTGCCAAGTGTAACTGGAATATGCAATATACCTTAGATGTCTAAGGTCCCTGTACAGTAAGACTTAGCACTACCCTATAAATTTCAAAAACAAAGCAATTCTTCACATTGGTGAAACTCGATTCCTATTTATGCCATCATTTTAGGACAGCAGAATGAGGGAATGAAGTGTATTGGAGAAAACTCACGTTTGAGCTCACGTTTTAAATTCATACAGAGTGATACTCAGTGATGTCAACATTTCAAATATGTTTTCCCTACAGGGACCTAAAAAAATTCCCTACATTGGGAAAAAATCCCTACAAGTCATTTGAAATCAAATGATAGTTATTTATACAGATATTCATTATACAAGAGAAAAATGTAGGAGATTTTAGCTTCAGAATGTGTTGTTTCCTGATGTGCGTAGTTGAGGGAGACAAAAAACCATGAGCTAAAATCCAATATTTTTCCCTCGATTTTTCCTGTGCATAATACACTATTTTTTTCTGTGAAGCAAAATCCAATATTTTTCCCGATTTTTCCTGTGCATAATACACTTTTTTTTTGTGACAGAAAAAAGGATGAATTGATATTGAGAAGATATTACATTATATTTAAATCAGAAAATTATCAATGTGAAATTAGTAGTTTTTAACAGGAACTACACTGCAGGCATCCCTTTGTCATTCCTCTGAAGTAATCAAATATCTGTCAGTCTAATTCTGTGATTTGATTTTCTATAATTGCGAATTTAGTGGTTGTTTAGTAATTCACCTAACCATGAAGTCTAATGAAAGATAAAAGTACTTGCAGTTCTTTCTGGGAAGCGATGCATTATTGGCTTATTTTCTGGAACTAAAGCACAACAAAAGCCATCAACAATGTATATATATGTGATATATATCCGGGAAAAAAGTAATCACTTTTTTCCCATGGACAAAAAGTAATTTATAAAAAATGACATTTTATAACCTGTCAGCAGAGATGAAATTTCAAACCTTTTTTCCATCACAGAAAAAAACTCGGAAAAAAACCTTATTTTTATATAGCTAATTTAGCAAATTGTATTATTTCAATGATATTGCATATACTTTGTAAATACCTGTACATGAGCTTGTACATTTTGCTGGATATACTGGCAATTACCAGGAAATATGAGAAATATTCAGGCAATACATGCAATATTGTGGAAATACAAGAAATACATTGGCAATACAAGAAGTTCCTTGCAATATGAAGGGAACCTAGAAACGAAATGCAGGAATTTTTAGTAAATTTCTGGGGAAATTACTTTCTGGAAATACAGGCATTCATAAGGAAATGCGAGAAATATTCAGGCAATACAAGCAATATTTTGGGAATACAGATAATTTTTAGGAAATACCAGGAATACATACAGGTAAATATTTCTCTATTGTGTTTAGCTATATTCTGTTCATTACTATCCTTAAACAAGTTATGAGTGCATATGAGTCTAATGCAGGGTTGGAATAAGTCATGAGTTTTATAAAAAAGTCAAAAAAGTCTGACTTTTTGAATTAATTCGGACTTTTTTGAATTAATTCATTTGAGAACAAATCAAATTCTATTTACTAGAACAAAATACAAGAAAGAAACTAAGTTTTTATTTCCGTTAAAAATCTCAAAGCGTGACAATAAAATACTTGAAATATGCAATTTTTGTAATATAAACAGAGACTATTGATTGAATGAAAAATGATGTTTATGCAAATTATATTACTCATTCACAATCTTCATTATAGAGGCGCTTTACAGTTATTTTCAATAAAATGCAGCAATATCCATGGCGCGCCTACGGATTGGTGTCATCTTGGAAAGCAATTTTTCGATGCATTGCAAGAAATGAGTCCGGACATATTTATTTATATTGTGGTAATTTGTATTACTGGTGCAATTCTAGTGGTGAAATGTTAGATTTTCGGAATTTCACGCATCATCAGATACACATTGGATGTTACTTTTCTTGTCTTTCTCATGGTTTCTTCTACCCAACTCAAAACTCGGTGAGAAGTAATACACAGAATCTATATGACAAAAAGACATTGCAAGCCGGTAATTCCGATTCAGTGTTGAAAAGCCTACATATTATTTTTGCCGGAAATATGTATTGGAGCAATCAATTGCATGCAATGAAATATTGTAAACTGTAAAGCGGCTCTTAGAAAATTTTGTTTTCCGCGTGTGGTGCTTCACGGTTGTCAGTTGTCAGATGCCATCGGATATTTCATTTTAAACTAGTTTAAATTGAAGGTAATGATGCGATTTGTTCCCATTTGATAAATTTTGAATTAATTCACGACTTATTTGAAAAAAGTCATTTGAATTAATTCACGAATTAAATCACTGACTTAATTCATATGAATTAATTCGTGCCAACCCTGGTCTAATGTAGTGAACCATCCAGTGAATTTCATCATTATCATACAAGGCAAGTGGAAAAGGAAATTTTCTCAAAAGAATCACCTGTATATTATTGCATTTTCAATAGATTTGTTTTTGTGTTATCAAATATTCAAATATGCAAGACTTTCATATATTTTTCCTGTCATGCTCATGCATGTGGGAAATAATTATATTGAACATACTTATCAAACTATATACATTGGTGAAGGGAAATGAGTGTGTGGATTGAAGTAGAGCAAATATCTCACAAATGAGAAAATATGCTTTCAAGAAATGACCGAGAAAACGATATTGAATATAGGATATTCCCTAGGGTATTCTTGAGGGTATTCTTGGGAGAACTTGATAAATAATTCAATATTAATGAAAATACTCTACCAATTGTCTTTATTTTTATACATAAATTACCTACACTCTAAGAAAAACTCCAAGAAAAATGGCTATCCCAGTATTTCTTTCTCTACATTTTCTGGTCATTCAGAAGTAAGCCATATATTGGGAATATTTCTGGGAATACAGGTATTAACTGGGAAATATAGGAAATATTCAGGAAATACGAGCAATGAACAAGAAAATATAAGTAATATTATGGAATATTTGGCAATACCTGTACATTTTTCAACCAGTAATTCGCTTCTCAGTATATACTATATACATATAAAACTTCAAATATGCTTTCTGAATCAAGTTGGGTGAAAAAAATGGATAATAATCAATCCATTGGGTCTTTTGATAAAGAATTAAATGGTCTTAGATAAATCCACTAAAAAACGAAGCAGCCAATTTTATTAAAACAATTTAACCTCGGAAAAAGCTATGACAATTCTAAACCATAAGGAGTGCATTGGTAAGCACCCTCCAATTGCCACAGTGGGAAAGTGTCCATATTCAGGTTTTGCATTTCAAAAAACCGAGCAAAAAACCCTCGGCTACTAATTTTTGAAGTGAAACGTTAAGAAATGTTCATAAATTTTGAGAATTTTGATTTTAATTTTTTAACTTTACCACCTTATAGGGACACCCTGTATATTTTATCTCAACCAATTTTGTATCTCTAGGAGTACTTCTACTATAACTACTCAAGATCACTGAGCAGATGAAACACTGAAAAAATCCATGTACATATTTATGAAATGAATCGTCGGATTCTCGAATGATAATGCTTTTGTGAATCATGAATTCAATATCTGTAACCTTATCTACCCAGCTACACTTTTATAGACACGTAAATAGTTTTATTCTCTGTTTTATCGGAATTTCAGCCGAATCCTCGGCCGAATCGTACTTTGTGTTCCCAACAGAATCAACAAAACATTTTTAAATGTAAGATTCCAGGAAATATGGATGATGTTGACGGTATTAAAACTAAGATCTGACTGCCGGTTGGAGTGCATCTAGGAATAAGGTAAACTTATTGTCTAGCTCAGCATTTTCTTCTTAGCTTAGGCGATGGGGATACAACCTGCGTCAGCGGAATCCCTGGGATAGGTGATGGTGGTGACATAATTCGTGTGTATTTTGGGTATGCTTTCCGTTTTCCGAACTGATGTGGTCATTCAGACCAAATTAAGTACCTACTTAGTTATCGACTGTCTACCTGTTTACACCATGTATCTTTGGTTTTCTAATGTTATCAAATTAGTTCTGTTTTGGTGATAATTATTTTGAGGACAAGCTGTGGAACTCCACTTCAATACGTAAATACTGATATATATTTCCTACTTGTCAAATCCAGAATTGGAACACATCAGATAATTGTGATTGAAGATTAAAATGTTGTTTTGAAAAGTCATAA